TTTTGTGTTTTGGGCTCATTTGGGCTCGCCTGAACTCGGAATTGAGTTTCGTTTTTTTCTATACGTAGCTAACGAATTCCTCTATTCAATGATGCTTGCATGGCCAAATTATTCTTGAAATCATATTCTCTCAAAGCTCTTGACCAATACATTAAACGTGTTTCGCGCGACTTTACTTTTTGACGCCGTTCGGACTCGACCAAGCTCGAAATTGACTAAAACGATAGTCAAGATTTATACCTCCTCTTGAATAGACGAAAAACTAAAAGACTCGAGAACAATGAAGCCTCGAACGCTCAAAACTCGTCCTTTGATAAATTCACTCATTTTGCTACTATTCCCACGGGAATTCAAGTTTCTCTAATTAAATGCTCAAAACTCCGAAATACTCGATAAATGCCCCGCATGACATCGTGCCTGAATCATCTATACGTCCTAACTCGATTTTCGATAAACCGAAGTCACACGCGACCTTGTGGGACCCACGTAAATGGCTTTTTTTTATTTATTTTACTAATATGCACCCTCGAACTTGAACTTCTCTAAATAAATGATCGAGCCCTCGAAATAATAAATCGACGCCACAAACGGCTTCTGCTCTTCTCGTGCTTTCTCGAAAGCACTTTTCGGTAATGCTCGACTCGCTTATCGAGGTCCGACGGAACACCCGAAGTCGACTCGAACGCTCAAAACTCATCCTTGACAAATTCACTCATTTTACTACTATTCCCACGGGAATTCAAGCTTCTCTAATTAAATGCTCGGAACTCCGAAATGCTCAATAAATGCCCCGCATGACATCGTGCCTGAATCATTTATACGTCCCAACTCGATTCTCGGTAAACCGAAGTCACACACGACCTTGCGGGACCCACTTAAACGCTTTTTTATTTATTTTACTAATATGCACCCTCGAACTCGAGTTTCTCTAAATAAATGATCAGGACCTCGAAATAATAAATCGACGCCACAAATGGCTTCTCCTCTTCTCGTGCTTTCTTGAAAGCACTTTTTGTTAATGCTCGACTCGCTTATCGAGGCTCGTCGGAACACCCAAATTTGTCTCGACTGCTCAAAACCCGTCCTTAACAAATTCACTCATTTTGCTACTATTCTCACGGGAATTCAAGCTTCTCTAATTAAATGCTTGGAACTCCGAAATACTTGATAAATGCCTGCATGACATCATGCATGAATCATCCACACGTCCGAACTCGATTCTCGGTAAAACAAAGTCACACGCGACCTTGCGCGACCCACGTAAACGGCCTTTTCATTTCTTTTACTAATATGCACCCTCGAACTCGAGCTTCTCTAAATAAATGATCGGGACCTCGAAATAATAAATCGATGCTACAAACGACTTCTCCTCTTCTCGTGCTTTCTCGAAAGCACTTTTTTTATTACCCGACTCGCTTATCGATGCCTGACGGAACACCCAAAATCGCCTCGAACGCTCAAAACTCGTCCTTGACAAATTCACTCATTTTGCTATTATTCCTACGGGAATTCAAACTTCTCTAATTAAATGCTCGAAACTCTGAAATACTCGATAAGTGCCCGGCATGACATTGTGCATGAATCATCTATACGTCCCAACTCGATTCTCGGTAAACAGAAGTCACACACGACCTTACAGGACCCACGTAAACGGACTTTTCATTATTTTACTAATTTGCACCCTCGAACTCGAGCTTCTCTAAATAAATGATCGGGACCTCGACATAATAAATCAATGCCACAAACGACTTCTCCTCTTTCGTACTGTCTGAAAGCACTTTTCGTTAATGCTTGACTCGCTTATCGAGGTCCGACGGAACACCCGAAGTCACCTCGAACGCTCAAAACTCGTTCTTGACAAATTCACTCATTTTACTACTATTCCCACGGGAATTCAAGCTTCTTTAATTAATTGCTCGGAACTCCGAAATACTCGATAAATGCCCCGCATGACATCGTGCCTGAATCATCTACACGACCCAACTTGATTCTCGGTAAAACAAAGTCACACGCGACCTTGCGGGACCCACGTAAACGACTTTTTCACTTATTTTACTAATATGCACCCTCGAACTCGAGCTTCTTTAAATAAATGATCGAGACCTCAAAATAATAAATCGACGCCACAAACGGCTTCTCTTCTTCTCATTGAAATACGTTTTACAATTAATTATATGTAAAACGTATTACTAAAAAACGTTTTACAATTAATTTTAAATTATATAATTAATTTTATTTATAAAACGTATGTTCAAAATACGTTTTATATTGTAAAACGTATTCTCATAATACAAGCTTTTGATTTTGGCCCACATTTTATTTTTTCGTTTTGTTTTTGTCCACTTATTTTTTTTTATTTTTATTTAAATAAAAAAATCCATGTTCACGCCTATGATATATTATGTATACAATTGTTTATATATGTATATAATTGTTTATATACATATTTTACTAACTTCATACATATCTAGAAAGTGACTTCACATTTTTCACTAATAACATATAAAGTTTTAGAAACTATTATATATGTTATATAAATTTTAGATACTCTTAATATTTCAAGCATATATGTTTTATCTTTTTATACAAGATAATTTTATATATTTACAACAAAATGATATACGTAAATTATATGACATGTTAACCAAAAAATTTTAATTTATAATTATTACTTAATATTTATTACCAAAATATTTAATTTAAAATTATAATTTATTAATATTGTTTACTTACATGTTTAATAATATATAATTATTATTTATCCGGGCATCCCACGGGCTGCACTAATAAGGCAAAAAGTGAAATAGATTATATAAATTAGGAAAATGCTACGGTTCCGTTCCATCAAAGTTTGTAACTGTTAGTTAGATCAACTATTCCAACGATTACATGATGATCTAAAAGTTACAAACCGCGAATGATTCTATAACGCGGCATCCGTGTTAATTAAACCTATTTTCACGTAATAAATCTCTCGACTACCTACACCACACCACTTTTGTTTTTTGTTTTACTCGATAACAACTTTTTGTTTGTGCTTCTTTTTTTTTTCCATTTTCCGTAACCATCTAATAATTATTATTACTCATATACGCACCAACTGAGGAGTGAGATGAAGAGACAGAATCAAATAATATTGACGGCCGCCCTATCACTCCTCTTCACCCTTATTATCACTGTCGACACGTCGTCATCCCTTCCCGGCACCGTGCCCGCTGCATTCCGGGTCATCAACCGGAGGCGGCTGGTCAGTTGCCCCGACCCGAACCCGTATCTCGAGATCCAAGTCAGCTCCGAGCAGAGATCACTTCCCGACCAAGGGTTCGTGGAGGTCAACGTCACGGGAGTGGTTTTCCCGTCGGAACACGATTGGATGGCAATGATTTCCCCGTCCGATTCCAAGTATTATGTCTTACTTGTACTTAAATATTAGTAATTATTTTGTTATATGAAAATTTCATTAATTTAACAGCTTTTTTTTTTTATTTTTTTTTTTCTTGCAGTGTGAGGACATGTGTGGAGAATAAACTCAAGTACGAAGAAACAGGAGATTCTAGCCATCTTCCTCTCCTCTGCCACTATCCTGTTAAGGTAACTTCTACTGTGCCTATCTGTGTGTGTGAATTTACATGATCATCGATCATATGTGTTAATTTACATCATCATGGCATAAATTCGGTTTTTGGTTTGTTCGGGTAATTTACATCATCATGGCATAAAAAAATTTCAGTTTATTTTTCCTTACATTGCGGTGCGGTGCAGTTATAGTTTTTCATAAATTCGGTTTTCGGTTTGTTCGGTTCGGTACGGTTTTGCACCGAATCGCCACCAGATTGAATAAAATGTATAGAAAAACAGAAATAAAATCAGAAACCGAGCTGAAATGTGCATTTCGATGCAGTTCGATTCAGTTATTTTAGCAAAAAAAAAAAAAAATCGGTTCATTTTCAGTTCAGTTTTTTTTAAGTTGGGGTGCTATTCAAGATTTTTTATTTTTTATTTTTTGCTACATTTAGTTTTTCGATTTTTTTGCGGTTTGATGCGATTTTTTACTTTTACTCACCATCATGGTTTGGGGATCATTTATTTTATTGTCCCATTAAAGTAAAACACAAATGATATATCTGTTTATTACAAAATTCAATTACACTCAATTCATTTTGAGCATATATCTATATATATATATATATATAATTGCTGGCTCATGGGCATTTAATAAAACCTATTAAATTATACCTATGTGGCAATATAACTTTTTCCCTCCAAAAACCGTTACTTTTTTGTTTATTTAACCTCTCATTTAATTACTAGATAATCAACACACTAATCACTTCAAAATTACAAAACTGATTTTAAACTTTTGATTTACTTATAGCTGACCATATAATGTGTTGACTATTTAACGTGATTAGATGTTATTGTTGTGGTTACATTTAAATTAACTTCTTTTGGAAAATAAAAAAAACGTATTTGAAATTCCTAAATAAATAATAAATAATTCACAAAAAATACATACCAAAATATACATTACATCCAATATGATAAGCACAATTTAAAAAAAAATAAATACTCCAATTCTTTTAATTGTAAATTTGGCCTGCAAAAAAATGCAACAAAAATTATTAATCATTATATGCATACAAATAATTCACAATACTTTATTTATATATGTGCAAATGCACAGGTCGAATACTAGTATCTATTTGAACAATAATGCTCACCTACCCACGTGGGGCACATCTTAATATGCCCACCGCTTATGTGGCATACACACATTGATAATGTATTTTTTTTAACGTATTAACATCACCAATATGTGCATGCCACATAAGCGGTGGGCATATTAAAATGTGCCCACCGTGAGTAGGGGAGCATTACTCTCTATTTGAAAACACGCCTAGAGTTTTGCATTTGAATAAGCAATGTGTGAGTCAAAAAGAAAATCGAAGTAGTGAGTAGCAGCTGTTTTTCTGATTGAAATCGGACATAAACGTGGCTTAATTAAAACGAGAAATTTGTCTTCAAACCAAATATGATGCAATTGTCTGTATTTTCGTGCTATGGGGCCTTGACTTGAGTCCCTTTTAAATGTTAAACGTATTAATCATTGCCTCCAATCTCATGTTGAATTTCATTGCATAGATTATAATAGACCAACATATTGAACCTTGCATGCAATAGGCTTAAATTTCCATCATTTATAATGTTCCGATTTTAATTAAGTTTGAACTAAATGTACATTATGGAGATCTCAACTTATCTGACCGAAGTCAATTTAGCTTAGCCACGATTCTTTTCACATTTTTTTTTTAATAAATATATCTTACAAGTACACTGAAACATAGGTATCTTACGTAAAGTGCGCTCAACTGTGTTAAAACACAAATTAATTTATAAATTTTTAAAGTTGTGTTGCAACATTAGAATTTGACAAAATAGCGAAGGCACAAGACAAGAGATAGAAACTCTGTAGGGAGCATTCCACTACCATTTAGAAATCTTTTATTGATAAATCGACTGTGCACTCGTGTGTAGTTTGATCTTAAAAAAAATCTCTCTACTCTCGAAACTACTAACTACTTCTCTGGCCATGTCTCGTGCACTTCACACACTCGAATCCCTCGAGCAAAGCTCAGTAATTAATTAATCCCTAAGTACTAAAAACAAAGTGTTTGAATAAAATATGGATAACTAAAACAAAACGGGTTCAGTTCTTCGACATTGTAAGAACATCGAATTGCTGAACAACGAACTAAAAACAAAGAACAAAACTCAAACTCTCAATGCTGAAAGTGAAACGTGAATGATGATGATTTCATCAACCTCAATTGATCATGCAAGAAATAAAAATAAAAAAGATCATGTAAGTGAATAAAAGGAAATATTCAAATCTCATAATCCTTTTAGGTGTGCATATGTAAGAGTAATAAGACTTTCTTTTTTCTTTCTTTTTCTTTTTTAAGAATTTTAATTAGAAACAGAGTAGCAGGTCCCAAATCAAATGACCTAAATCATTAGGCTTAAATCGTTTGGCTTTATTTATTCTGTACACTCTCTGTAAATGAGTAACTACAAAAATATTTCTTCCCTAATAGTTCAGGCGGTACCCTATGTTCTCAAAATGACCCAGGCCAGGCTATCCTTTAGGTCATTGGGCCATCAGTTTAAATATAGTCATTGGGCCATTAGTTTAAAGAAAAACTTGTGCGAACATTATTGGCTTAAAGACGCAGACACGTGCAATACTCACAGCAATACCTTCTCTGCGAGAGAGAAACTTTTATCACATAATTATCCTCTAGTTAACAATTCTTCTGCAAAATGACGAATAAACATAAAATAGAAACAAAAATGGCTTAAAGACGAATCTATGTTCATTTCAAAAGTTTTGTCCGCACAGTAATATTGTTAAAATAATTTCAATTTGATTTCTCAAGATCTTTTCTATTTTTAAATCTATCTTAGTTTTCATTTTTTTGATTATTTTCAGTTTATCTTAAAATTATTACTTTATCTTTATAGTTTATTGCAAGCTTTTTTAGATTATTTTCAGTTTATCTTAAGTTTATTACTTTATATTTAT